TTTTCTCTTACCTCCTCCGTTGGCAGGGTTTCCTGAAGTTTTCATGTTTCCACTGCGCCCGATGGCGTCAATCCCAATCCAGATGAATCCTTCACCCGCGAGTGAAACCAAGTCTTCCATTTCGTTGTCGTTCTATAAAACAACATAATTATGAGTTCCTAATTGATTTTACTTTTTTTCAGATATTCTCAAGCCACTACCGAAAGAATAATTTGAAGTAATGCAGTCAACTTTAGCGTAATATACGATTGGCTGGAAGCATGCGATTTTGGACGGACGTCCTGTTTGGAATCAGGGCGTCCTGAGTTTGGACGGACGCCCTGTTTCATTCCAATTAAGGCAAAACGCATCTTAGTGCAGCTGGAAATCCGGAGAAAGGAATGTTTACTTTGAGTAAATTTATTATGTATTTTTGTATGTGGTTTTATTATTTTTAACACGTGAATTAAGACAAAACGCACTTTAGTGCAGAGGGAATTAGGTTAATCAAATCAAGCGTTGTGTCAATGGAGCGCACAACAAATCAACATAGGCATGCATGATTAAAATTCTGCCGGCTTTAGCATGATTAAAATTCCACTTAAAATAATATTTAGCAAGTATTTTAGAACAAATACTGAGGGAATGACGAGGTAGCTGCCCAGAGATCGGCAGATGTTGAAGGCTTCTTCATGCGTTTGTCTGACAGAGTACTTCGCGTAGCTACGCATCCCGCTGATCAGCGATGAGTTTACAAGGTCAGATGATTCTGAAAGAATGAAAACCAGTCATAATTAGCATACAACTAGATTTTCAAAATTAAAACGAGGTTGTAAATCTTGGTCGTATTTTTTTCTCGAAATTTTTATTTAATATGCGCGTATTTCAGTCGTACATTTTCGACGGAGTTTTGGTGGTATAAAACAGGTAGCATAGTTTTTATGCTTAGTCGCGTTTTATTTCCCATTGAAGGTTTTTTGTTGCAATTACAGACTATGTGAGAATTTCTTAACTGTGCAGCACGCACGAAGCCGATGAAGCAGAGTAGCAAATCCCCAGACAGTCCTGCACCATCGCACACTTGGCTGCGCAAGTAATCTGTGCAGGAAAAACCTTTTAATTATATTAAAGAATAAAACCTCAAACAACTTAAGCTTCAATTTCGCGGTGGAGCTAGAGGCAAAAAAACTTTGAGTGCTCAAATCCATTCAGTAAAGTAAAATGAGATTTTAAACGGAGTTTGAATGCTAACAGCAGACGTAAGAACATTATTTCCGATCATCATTAAAATCCAAATTTTTCAGAATGTTGCTAGTAGCTGCAGGGTTCATAAATCCGATGTTAAAAAATGTGATAACGTTTATTCCTGAACTTTTCAAACTTGGCCGCGCAGTCAAGTAGGCACAACTTGCATTAATGTTAAAAGTAATTATTTCCGAAAATGTAGTGCAGAATATAGTTTCATAAGAATTTAAAAAATAATATAATCAATCGCATATCAGAACTGTTATTAGCGAGAATTGTTTAATTACTGTCCTGTTGTTGAAAGCAAAAGGATTGCCACTGCCTTTTTTAATTCTAGATACACAAATATGCACGAGTTTTTCACAACAAAACTCCCCAAATGATAATTTATCTCTATTGAAAATATGGCTGATTTTATGTTACGTAGTTCCTTACATGTGGGAGACATTTCTCATAACATAAACTACACACAATGACTGTTTTGTTCGTTGATCAGATAGTTATTCACAAATTTTCTCCGCAAAAATCCTGGTTCAGTAAAAAAATTGCAGGAGCATCGCACGATCGAATGAGCATTGAGGCTTTGATTAAATATGATGTATGATGATTGTGGACTTGGTCGTAAAAGATAATTTCGAATTTTAAACCTATCTCAAAAATGAAATAACGGAACATGCTGTAGGAGGCATTACCTTTGTGGTCGCAGGTTCCAATAATATTTCATTTTCGCAGGTTTCTTGAACGCGTTGGAAGCTTGTGGCCCTTATTTGAGTCCAAGCACATGATGCCATAAGAGTGAGTCTCGTCAGGAACTTCATCGAGACCAGGTCTACTGATGGTGCCTTGCCAGTGGACGCAGATGTGGACTTCGGGTTCTAGACAGAGGCATTTGTGTTAAGGAATATCCACGAATATGATTATGATATTTACCTGAGTTATGGCGCAATTATGCCTCAGCAGGAGATAATACAGTAGACCACTTAGACTGTTGTAGTTGTTATTTTGATGAATTGTTAGAAAGATGATGGTTGATTAAGCTCATTTTAGTGGTGATCAAGAATATGAAATTCATTCAAGATTGCATAATATATAAAATCATAATTGAACTCATAAAACCCCAAAGGGAGTTAAGTAGCTGACCTTCACTTCTAAACCACAAAAAAAAAAATTGCCGAAGCCGTAAAAACAAAATTAAAGAGCCGAAATTAGCCTCAGAGAAGAACTACTTCTATTGTTGATTACTATGGAAATTCGGCAAACTTTTTATACAAACGTGTCAAACTTATAGTGGAAAATGCGTACAAAAGTGTACCCAGTTCTAGAGAGTGGAAAACTACATGGTCAATCATTGGAAGCATTAGCATCAGCATTCCCACAAGCATTTCTAAATAATTTTCTTCAATAACTCCGAAATTAAATTTTATGGCAAAACATTGATATCGGAGCATCTCATTAAGATAAGCACGTTAATCTTGATAGTATATAAACAAATATCTTGCTTTTAGTCTTTCTGACTTAACCATCTGTTCAGGATTGTACGTTCCCTTGGCCAAAGTATATGATAGCATAGGTAGTCCCATAGTGCCATAGTATAAATAAATATGAAATATTTAGATCTGGTTTGTACATTTCAATTGAATTTTACCTCAGTGTTATGCTACTCAATTCAACTATCTTTAAATATTTTCTAGTTAACTATATGGAATTCCATCATTTTATATCCAAATGACGTACCTTAAACCTCCTTTAGTCAAATCCACTCATGAATTTGACCATATGCAGACGAATATGTTTGGGGCCAGTAACCGAGTGACGCTAAGTTACGGAGTGATTTGTTTGAGATTAAAGACTAACCTGCTAACACCTAATGCATTGTAATATAGGTTCTAATGCACTGCCGTACTTTCTCCTCCCTGATTGTACCCGGCGAAATGCGATGAAATTACTGAACGAGTACGTCCAAATGGGACAAAAGTGCGCTGCTTAAAAAGCTAAATGTTGGAAGCCATAATTCGAAGGTTTTGAAAGTTATTGGCTTTAGTATAAGGCACTTTGATTTTATGTTTCGTGATGCCAGAATAAATAATTGCCGTAGAGCATTATTTTTTATGCAATGCAATTGAAGATGAGAGAGTAGTCTGCTTTATATATGCTATACGCATCATTTCCATCTAGAGTAATATTTTTTCTCAAAATTTCTCCTATTTCCTTGATGCTGAAGACTGACATGCTTAGAACAGTAGCAAATTAAATTAATTATTGGCAGTGATATGAAGGAGATATAACACTTGTTATATTGCTTTTTTTGTTGTGACAAAGTGCCTTGAACGGAAAAAAGTTAATTTACTAATTAAGAGCCGTAAAACATAACTGTTCCATTAGAAGAATTTGTAAGCTCAGGAAAAATTGCCCTTCGCCTGTTTTTCATGATTCTAATAGAAAGTAAAAAAAACCTTAATTGAATTACAGAATATCTTTTTGTCACAAAAATCAAAGATTATTCTTCAATTCTCATCACAGAATTTTTCGCTTACCCAAGACTTGTTCAGAAATGTCTCCCCTATTTCAGATCGTGATGGTAGTTCAAGAATTCAAGAATAACTAATAATGTGAGGGATTATAATAACAGAGTCAAGGTATTGAGCCATGCATGTAAGTGCAGGCGTTCTTTAATGGCTCAGACCTAACGTACATTACAATCATGTTTCGAACATTTCGAATAAAATTGGATACTGAATACAGTCAATTTGGTTCTCGATGTGGCTAGATTTTTTTTTCAAAAGAAGTAGGAGTTCAAGTACAGATTGAAAGAAATATTTTGCTCAGAGCCAAAAACCGATATAAAAAGATCTTGCAAATGATTGCAAGAATTTAAGCCTATCCACAATACCAATGCTTCTCACTAATGCGTATAATTACTATCTACAATGTCTAAAATTATCCGTAATTAAACGAATTCGAATATCCAACTAGAGACGGAATTTAGTACCACGAATCTGTGATAACTCAGTTTTTAAAAAGTAGATTTTATAAGCTCAGGTATTATCTATTCAGAGCAACTGCGGACATTGTGATATTTGACAACTTCTTAGACTTTGAATTTGTGCAATTCGACATTAGACGTTGCTGTACTGTATAGTCTCTGAATTTTTACTCATTCGTCGTTTAGTCCAGAAATAAGCTGAATGAATTGATGATTCTGGTTAATAAGTATTTTTTTATCGAAATCTCAACTTCCTCCATCCCCCCACCCCAATAAAAGGAACAGTGAATTGTCGAGAATGAAACGAGTCTCCAGAAAAATCAGGTATATTAAAATGAAGCTTGAATCAAGAGATTTTTAATCATAAGGCAAGATGAAAGAGATTGGTAAATCGATATATTTGTGTATCGACAAAGTCATGCCACTTCTAAAACTGGTGCATCAGGACTGGGTAGGGTTATAGTGAACTATAGTTTCTTAATAATATATAATTAAATGCTTGTAGCGACCTTCTCTTGTTCAACGCCAATTCTCCAAATTTTCAAGCAGACAAAAATAAATTGATTTTTCCAGCTTTAGCTTTTAGGAACAAATGGTTTAGGGTTAGGTATCGCTAAGCAGCAGTACGGCGAATTACCATAGAAATATAGTATCGCAGAGATGCCATAGCATTGTGTTTGAGTTTCTTGAAACACGCGTAGTCTGCAGGGTAAGTCTTGTTAGGTATTGCTATGCAGCAGTACGGCGAAGTACCATAGAAATATGGTATCATAGAAATGCCATAACATTATGTTTATTTGAGTTTCTTGAAACACGCGTAGTCTGCAGGGTAGGCCGGGTGAGGCAGGGTCACGCAGCTGTACAGTCTGGACGACTGGCAGATGTACGGCAGTTCGTACATGCAGTACGCATCGTTGAAACCGCTGGGCCAGAGCTGCATGCACTGCTCTAATGTTGCTAGGTGATCCGGTTGTCCTAGAGCATACTCGTAGTACTGCACCGCTTGACCTAGAAAAAATATTGATATGTTTAGCAAGATAATATGTTTTTCCGTGGTTCCATGGAAATCTGGCTATTTACCTAATGCAGACCTAATCATGGGTCAGTAAAGTAAGGATTGACCTAGGAGGTAAAAAAAATATATTGGAATTATTTCTGTTGCCTGAAGGAGTTTTTTGGAGGTTGCTTGAAAATCTAATGATGGGGGATTTTTTCAGAGGTTGTTTCTAGCCCTTTCTTTGAGGATTGGGAAAATTGTAAAAAAGGCATGTGGATTCTTGAAGTTAATTGTCATGGTCACTGTTTGATATGTTGAACTTAGCGTCATGACCTTGACTCGTTTACAATGAATACCGATTGTTCATGTTGAAATTATTATTTGAAAGATTAATTCAAGATAAAAAGTGGAAGTGTATTATTCGAAGCAGCGTGTTAAATGCTTTGCCTTCTTGTACGTCAATCAACATGAATGACAGACGGTAGATTTTCGCACTGCACCTTTGGCGGCGTTCTTTCTTCTTATGCTCTTCTGTTAATTTAATCTCAACTTACACAGGAAAGTACTTATGTTTCCTGCCACACCATACATGGATCCATTGGTGGGCACAGTCCGCTAATTCGCTAACCGCAAATTAGCGAAGCTAACTTTTCTTTTTCTGGTGTGCCACACTGATGGATGACTACGTCAACAAATGTACGTCAACCAATCTGTCTAGTTTCACACAAGACTTCAGTGTGGCACACCGGCTAAGGAAAAATTTAGCTCCGCTAATTAGCGATTAGCGGATTAGCGAGCTGTGCCCACCACTACATGTAACCACAGGGCAGGGTGGCCCAGTGGAAGAATCGGCAAGGAGGCCGGGCGGTTATAAGCACAGCAGAAATTGAATCAGTGAGTTGTGAGTTCTTGACCGCAACAAGCTGTGAATGTTCTGCGATGTTAAGAATCGGTGACAGGCTTACGGCCTAATAAACGCTGAAACCGCTATATTATTATTATTATTATTATTATTATTACATGGATCCATTACCTCCTCCGTCAGCAGGCCCTCCTGAAGTGACGATGCTAGTTCCATTGCGTCCAATAGCGTCGATTGCCATCCAAATTCCAACGCTATTGTCCATGATGGAGATCAGCGTCAGCATTTCATCCTTGGACTGCCGATTCATGTAATTGGTTTTAAGTGTGATGTTATGAAATTCAAGAATGAAATTGAGCACGAATATAATTGTAATAAAGGTATTACAGTTTTATCTATAGTATTTCATGTCATAGTCGTATGTATATCATTGGAAGATATATGACAGCATGAACCCAAGCTACATCTGTAATATCTATCATTATAAAATTTGCAACATGGTAACATGTAGTATCACTAGTTGACTAAAAAGAAATTTTCAAAATTGTTGACTTAAACATGATAATTAGATTCTTGGAAAAAATAAATCCGAATGTAACTTATTTCAGGTTTACATTTCCATTGAAATCTTGTGCGCTACTAAGACCATTGAGATAGGTTTAGATGGATTTAAATTTAATTGAAAATGGTTTTAAATTAGATGGTAAATATTCAACTACTCAAATGCACTCACCTGGGGGGCGACGAGGTAGCTGTCCAGGGCTCGGCAGCTGTTGAACGCTTGCTCGTGCGTTTTTCGGTCAGCGTACACCGCGTAGCTGCGCATCCCGCTAATCAGTGATGAGTTGACAAGGTCTGATGATTCTGAGGAAATGAATACACAATAATAATTAGCATAAAATTATATGCTAAAAATTTAAGTGATATACTAAATCTAGATTGAATTTTTACAAAGGTCTGAGGATTACGGTCTGAGGTCTGAGGTCTGAGGATTACAAGGTCTGAGGATTACGAGGCAGTGAGGACAGAATTCAACTACCTTGCATTTTGTCTCAACAAGAAAATAAAGCCAATTTAAAACTAAGGTTTTCGTCTAATTTTTGCATAACTTAATTTTTAATTTTCACAAGCTTTTCCTGTTTCCGCAGCTGACTGTCTTTAGTTTTCGATGAATGCGAACGTAAAATTAAGTAAAAGCCCAAAAAGTTCTGAAAAATTATGAAATTGTCAATTGTGCCAAAGTGAAATAGTTGCGTTTAATGGGATCAACGGGCTAGCTGATAATGATCTAGATATAAAGCGGCAGTTAATTATAATTAATTAATAATAAATTATCAGTTAATTTATTAATATAAATAATTATAATTAATTATCGTCAGTTAATTATACGTTAATTATTCTCGCGATCTTTTTACTAACGCACGAAATTCTTTTGTTACAATAACAATTATACCAGCAACAAGCCAGCCAGTACAAGTACGTACATCTCCAGTATAGAGAGAAATTAAAGCTTCGTGTGTATATAACGTTTATCCATCAGTTATAACCATCATCGTTGTTAGTAAATCTAAGTTTTCATAGTCAACATTAACGATGGTAATTCAGGAACAAATTCGTCGAATGAAATCGAATGATGTAGTGATGAAGAACACTACATATTTGACGAATTTTTAATTTTGCGTGAGAATTCCAAAGATTCTGAGATTATTTAGTAACTATTTTAATATTTCTCACTTTACTAAAATGTTTTATCAGGTTTTATTCGTATAAGTTTTAAATGGCATTTCGAAAATTTACTATTATATACGTTTTTCAGTTTTTTCCATTTATTTTTTTCTGAATTGAAGTGTAATAAGTTAGGAATTTAAAAACGGTTGCTACATTCCATTTGTATTATTTTGTAGCATGATATGATGTTCACTCAACTGTGCAGTACGCAAGAAGCCGATGAGGCGGAGTAACACATTCCCAGGCAGTCCGGCGCCATGCCGCACTTGACCGCGCAACCCATCTGCGTAGAAACAAACTCATTATTCCAGTTGATTTAGGGATTTGAGTACAAATATCATGACGAATCAATGATCAATTTCATCCCAATTAAGTAAAGTCCAAATTTCCAGATCGCAAATACATCAATCCATTAAAGTCAAATTTCTGATTTAGCAGAATGCTCACAATAGCAGACAATAATTGCGAGTCTACTCCTAATTATTATTAATTAAAAAAATTTTTCACACATATTTAATCGTTCAATATTCCTATGATTGTAATTTCTGATATTGTAATTGTATTGTATTTCCGATTGTAATTTCCGATTTCCGTTTGAAGCAAAAATACTTTATATAGCCTGTGCGATTGCCCATTCACCATGTAATGTATCAGTGAATTCCGAGCATTACTTAATACTGGAAAAATAAAGTTCCCCGTTCGAAGCATTTACCAGTGAGGCAGCGGACTCGCGGGAAATTTTATTTCCGCAGGTCTCTTGAACGCGTCTGAAGCTCGCGGCTCCCACCTGAGCCCACGAACACGACGCCATGAGAGCGAGCCTCGTCATGAAGTTCAGAGATGCCATGTCTCGAGTTGGTCACTAGTTGGTGCTTGAAAATGTTAGAATATTCGGGCTGTGGATAAAAGTATTTAAAATAGATGGGCATTTATGAAAATGGTAAGAGTTTTTATATTAATATATTGACTCCAATCTTTCTGCTCTAAGCTAATGCAATAAACACTCTAGGTTACTACAGTTTATCTATAGATTAAAAATTTAATAGACGGCCTAGCTGGAACGCGTTACTGGAATAAAATTTAATAAAATTGACATTTAGATTCATTATTCATCGACAATGTATGATATTAACTTATATCTCCTCTAGTGAACTCAGTTAATTTAATCAACTTATATCGTTTAAGAAAGCAACTCGACTACCGCGTTGCAAGATGATTGCCGATTCAGCTTAGTTGATTATCAAGATAGCGTGATTGCTTCCTATGCATAATAATAAGTACAATGATTTAACTGAACATGCTGCGGAAGAATAGCTAAATTATTAACTATAACAAATATAAAAATTATAGCGGGAGGAATTAAGCATCCAAAGTTTTGTCTGTAATGAGGTAATCCATCACTTTTGATTTCGAAGTCCAAAAATTTTTGCAAGAAGTTCTGTTCTTTGTAGCATGTCTCACTTCATGTTGAGTGATAATATTTTTGTGTCAGAGGCTTGTTATTTTTCCAGCCGCTTCATATTCAATTCTATGCTTTATATCCTAGGCATTCTTTCCATATACTTTTTTATTTGAACAATTCACATTAATACCTCCTTATTTCAATTCCTCACATTAACTGACCACATACAGACCAATATGTGTGAGACGCCTAACCGAGTGACGCTCACTTACGGAGTGATTCTTTGGAGTACAAATATTTTACCTGTGGACTAAGTCTTAATGCAGTCTTACTGCATTAAGACTAATGACTAAGTCATAATGACTAAGCCTTAGTCATTGTGGACCGAGTCTTAATGCAGTGCAATAAATGCACTAATGCACTGCCGCACTTTCTACACCTTGATGGTCCCCGTCGTCTAAATGTTGAGTGCTGACATGGAAGAAATCTGTAACAAGTAATGTCCAACCGTTGAATTATATCAGTGTTTTTATGGTTTTCGCCTCGTATAAGGGAATTCATCTTAGTGTTCACTTAAGAAACGTTGGTTTCAGATATGGTTTAACTTTACACCCTATATTTCACAAATGTTTTCCCTGGCTATTTCACGTTTTCGTTAGCCAATGAAAATGCCATAAGCCTCATTTGTTTGTATGCAGGTTTTGTAAGCAGGTTTTCTCTTATGCAAGTTTGGTTGAAGCACAGAGCATGATTTTTATTAACAATTTTCTTATTTCTTTTTTTCAATGAGTTGAATAAAATTTCTTGCTGGCGCCTGGACATCTAAGAGCAGGCTATCAAATGACATTTTAATGTAATGCGATGTTTCGAATATACATNGGTCGGGGCACCGCATAACTATGCTGGTGCAGGCCTCCAATGTCGCTCGGGTGATGGTCTCATTGTGAGCCTCCCGCATGTGGTTCTTGGGTCCTCCAGATTGTAGGTGGCATGTGAGTCGGAGGATTAAGGTCGTGCTGTTATGAACAATGTAGTTTATATTCTGAAGAAGTCTGCAAGTTTAGTTTAACTGCTTCATTCTCCAGTGACACAACTCAACAAGCGGCAAGAGCAGCTGAAGAGAGACTGTTTAAACCCTACAGTACGCTCTTTATATACCTTCCTACGTTTTTATGCTCAAGTGCAATTGCTGCACACGCAGCGTAACTGTCAATAAGAGGGCGATTTTATGGATGTTTTGGATCAATAGATATTTTCTTGAAACCTTCTTGCATGAAAAATGTACGAGTTAAATACCGCCATGATGAATAGGGCAAGGAATTTATTCATGTTGTTCCGATGAGGGGAATAAAATTATGAATATTTGAACCAATTCATCAGCACGGGTCATGAATGTTTACTCAACGACTCAGGTAAAAATGTCCCAGCGCTAAACGATCATCAGTCCCTGTCGATTAGTGATCAAACTCCCAGCCTGATTCGTGAGTCCACCTAATATTGGCAAGTGATTTATGGGATAACGACAAGGGCATTAGGGCGGCATGGAGAATTAGTTAAATAAGCACAAATTTGCATACGCTGCTTGCTTTTTTGTGGATATTATAGAATTGAGCGCTTCGATTTAAATAAAAAATCGTTGGACGCTGGCATCCATAGAACAAGACCTGACGTCGTACTCAATTTAATAAATCAATTTTCTATGTATTTTTTGGGGGTTTTAAAGTCAAAAATCTTTTACTAGAGCTCCTAAAGTTAATTTGTATTGCAGTTTTAACAGATTACTTGGAATGTGCAATTGATTTATACTGAGTTAACATGAGGGACACCTGACATTATGCATATTGGAATGAAATTGTCAACAAGGACGGTACGCTATCGTACACGTATACTGGGGAGATGAGGTAGGAATAGCACTGTAGAATAAACGAGTTACACGAACGGTTTATATTTACTGAGCTCCTCAGGTAGCAATAGTTCTATGAAATAACCGAGTTATAAGAACGGTTTATATATACTGAGCTCTTCAGGTAGAAATAGCTCTATGAAATAAACGAGTTATAAGAAAGGTTCATATTTACTGAGCTCTTCAGGTAGGAATAACACTGTAGAATGAACACCAGTTACATCTGCAGTGGTGACCGGCGGCGAGTCATCCATCACCTGCCCCAAGATGGCCCGCGCGTCATCAAGCGACAGGCGGCTGCCGTTTTGATGAGGATGATTGATGGCTGCTCAAGTAGAATTTTTAAAAGGTTTCAGACTTTCAAATTCGTTGGTTGTGCTCAATATTTCTCATTATTATATATCAATGTTATACATTTTACGAGAGTTGTTAGGGAATAGTATGACGGTATTGGAAAATCTAGGGAATATGACGGCAATGGAAAGTCCAAACTTGACGAATTTCTTGATGCTGTTCCATAGTTTATGCGCAACGCAATTTGAACGTATCGGTCTACATTCTTCAAATCGGTGAGTTAACTAGAATGTATCTAAAAAATTATCTCGATGATAAAAATAAGAAAATAAAACCTTGATAATTTAAAGTGTTGCCGTTTGGCTCGTATACAAGTTTACAGCATTGCTGGTAATGAAGGACATCCACTATAATAAATTTTCTTCTAGGTTTATTGACTCAATAACTTGGACTGCAACTTATTATCTTTATTTTTCTCTTATCTTCATTTTTTCTATTTTTCTTGATCATTTAGTGCGAATATTTCGACACCAACTAGTAAGATAGTGAGAGGAAATTATTATCCCAATTTGTCAGTTGGTGAGATAAGTTAAGAACACCATCTAATGCGCTAGATTGCCTTTGGTTTGCTCTTTGTCTTATCAAGGCTCTTTCAGCTGATTTAGTAGAGCCAGTAAGACAAGCCCTCAACTACGGCATATGTCGTCGGTAATCATATGCTTCTTATTAGCAGCGTCATTTAATGTCATTTTTTATTTAACTCGACACTATAATCATGCAAAAATTTGAATTCAGCCAATTACCTTCCATGCCGTTACATACGCCTTTTGCTTGACTTTATAATCTTTCGACAATTTGAAGTCAGCCCATTACTCGCCATGCTGTCACATACGCCTCTTATTCGACTCTAAAATCTTGCGACAATTTGAAGTCAGCCCATTAACCAACATGAGTCGACGCATTCGCCTCTTATATGACACTCCAGTCCCTCGCCAATTGTCAGTCAGCTCATAACTCCATCTTTTCTTAACTGAGCTGTCGGATATACCAGATCATAAATATTTATTTCTTGCCACTGCGTTGCGGGAGGAATTATTACACATTTTTTCAAAGTTTTTCAATGCTATACCTGCTGATATGCTGGTAGTTCCTCTACGAATGATTGTATAAAAACTATAGACCTGTAGCATTCACAAGTTTTATCATCATGGGTTGGTTCCCTTTAACTGGTTTTGTAAGTAAAAACCTTCTCGTATATATCAGCTCATTTAGCGTGAAACTTGCAAGAAATTCTGTTCGACTCATTGAAAAAAGACTAGGAAATTGCTTATATAAATCATGTTCTGGTATGAAACCAAACTTGCATATATATATATTGCGGACTATTTCGTGCTTTTCAGTGCAACTGTTATTTATGGCAGGATTAATTGAATACGCGTGCATCCATGGGTTCATTTGTGCTTTATATTCCAAGAAGACACCGTTTCAAAATTCGTTCCTGATCAAAGTTCGGTCTATACTCCGCAGCTGACAGATGATGAATGAACGAAAAGGTTTCGCAAGACCAGGGAATTAAGCTACTATCCTAAGACAAAATGTTGCGTTCACAACAATATATACATAAATATATATATGATTCCACTAATCCGGACATATTATTTTGTACCCAATGATCCTTATAAAATTGTAAAAAAGATGAAAAAAACTTGACCTGGCTGGACCTAACCCCTGTAGAACGGTGTCTAGCAACTAAAAAGTGTTTTATACACACATAACCCTAACTGTAACCCTAAGCTAACGATGTTTGCGTTTTTTAGAATGTCCGGTTGTGTATTTCATTTATTTTTGCATCCGGTTTTCAAGCACAAACGAGTTAGAGCATTTAACCGGACTCGATTTTATCTGGGTTTCCAACTCATGTCCGGCAATGTTACCAATCCTGTTCGACTATTGACTGACTTATATAAATATATATTATGATATTTAAAAAAAATCAGAATTATTCTGACTAGCATACAACTACATGAGCTCTGAAATTGTAGAGAGGGTGGACGAGTGAACGAATGCGTGAAACTGTAGGAGTTGGTACGTTCGATATTGCATCCAATTATTTATTTCAGGTTTTCATAGCTATACGGTATGTATTTAAATATATTATATGGGTGAGAGCCTTTTGTCCTGACGGATCATTACAATTTATTAAATACATTTA